ACACCAGCAGTTTCTATACTGGAATGGAGAGCATGGAGAGTGGAACAGGGGTATTTTAAAATGGAGTATGGCGTTTGTCCGCAGACAGCTTCTGGGTCATGCGGCCAGCATGACTAAGCCGCTTCTGGCGAACCAGAGCAGGTCATGGAAACACCGTTTACCTTCCCGCCGGAGTGGTACCTATTTATCTACTTGCACTTGACGTGCTTTTGAACTGCTAGATTTAATCAATTCTGAATCAATTCTGAACAACGCAGAATTGCTCTACTGGATGTCTTCTTGAGGACTCAAATTACAACTACAAAACTCTCATTTGGGTTAAGCTTTGATGCTAACTTTAAACCTGCTTTCAAATTCTGGTTAGAATACAAACTCTAGTTGGTAACAGCTGTGAGTTATATGCGTTCAGATGCCATGCTAAAGCTTAGAGATTCAAATAAAGTTAAGGAAACCAACCAACGTTTCTGGAACCTTGCTATCAAGCTCAAGGTTTTGTGTGTGTGTTTTAATATCTATGAATTACTCTCAGAAACATTTAAGTTGGATAAGAAGAGGGTTTTATGTCCAGAAACTTTTACCTACTTATAATTAATACGTTCCTTAAATATAGAAACACCTTGGGTAAAAAGGGCAAATTCATGGGTGAATTTATGCAGGCTATAGAAGTGTGTAATGGAAAATTAATTACAAACACCTTGAACTAAATGACTCATTTTTGTTGTGTTATAAGAATTACGGATTTTAATAATATGCAGTCACCCACAGCAATCACTTTTACCCTTGAGTAAGCATTATAAAAGTAACTCACTGGCTATACTTAGACTTAGCACTAAACTATAGTTTAACACAGTTTTAAGGGACCTTTGTGGCCTGGTATATACCACAGAGCAGAATGATAATATTCAGCTGATTGGGGTCTTATTGTGAGTGTGTTGTAATGGATGGATCATTCCCTAGTAAAGTTTGGGCTGAATTTCGCATTGCAGGGGTGGAGGGTGTACTGAAATGGCCCGCCCTTGGATAATTATGATATATGATGGTTTCCTGAATGCTCTGGGGGATTTTCTGGCTGATATGGATGGTGCTTCTGTTGAGACTGTGGTCATAATCTGAAATAGTGAGCTATAAGTCTTCAACACAATCACTCCTGAGTGTCCTCGTGTTCAATAAAACAGGAAGTTTGACAGGTAGAGTACAAACAGTGTAAATCTTGGTGTAAACCTGGCCGAACACATGTGAGGTTCCATAATTGTCCCTACCACGCAACCGTGATGGCAAAAACTTACTGCTCCACTACCATTGCATCTGCAGTTAGCAGTCTGGAATAGTTTTTCTGTGTGGCAAATGGGCTTTTGTCACCTGGCCAAGGGAGAGTTGCTCGGATACCCTCAGCAGCTCACTAAAACAATGCTGAGAGGCACTTTGGGGCAAAATTGCTCAGATTCAAAGAGTTGGGTTTCACAGTTAGATCAATGTATCCAATATACTGTCTGTTCCATCTGTTCCATTGCACCCTGATAATGCAAACAAACTGCATGAAGAAGGGCGGTTGACCACTTGCCCCCTTAATCCTTGCTGGCTTCTTAATCCTATGTTGGCTTCTTAAAGCTAACCATTAGGAATTGCCTGAGTAGATCCAGGGAATGATAAGTTCTACATTGGAGGGGAGGGGAGGAGGTACCATCTGCCTTGAATGAGGCTACCAGCTGTAGCTCCTTTTTGACAGAGATGGCTTGACAATGGTACTCCCTGTTGTGATAACTTCCAAATTGGCTTATTGCAATGTGCTCTTCACGGGGCTACCCTTGAAGACAACTTGGAAACCTCAGCTGGTTCAAAAGACAGCAGCCATATTATGCCTCTTTATGCTAGCCTTTGACACCCAAAATGTGCATTTTCAGGACCCACCCTATTCCTGTGACTGTAAATTGTTTTAAGTATTTTTAGTATTGATTTTTAAATTGTTGCAACCTGCCCTGGAACCTGATGGTGAAGAGTATATACAGTGATACCTCGGGTTAAGAACTTAATTCGTTCTGGAGGTCCGTTCTTAACCTGAAACTGTTCTTAACCTAGGGTACAACTTTAGCTAATGGGGCTTCCCACTGCCACCGCTGCAAAATTTCTGTTCTCATCCTGAAGCAAAGTTCTTAACCTGAGGTACTATTTCTGGGTTAGTGGAGTCTGTAACCTGAAGCATCTGTAACCCTAAGCATCTGTAACCTGAGGTACCCCTGTAATAAGTATAATGATAATGATAATATCATTATCTACGGTAACAACAAAGAAAAGAACAAATCTTTTGTCTGTTGTTCTATGTACTTAATAGAGCTGAGATACATTTCGCCTAATATATGAAGAATGTATATTTTGTGGATTCAAAATATTCTGGTCCTGTGGGCTTTCACTCAGAAATAAGACTGTGGAAAGTTTTAAAATGGTTGTCAAGGAGACATGATCAAGCATTTGTTGAGGTGGGAAAAATGTTTTGCAGCCATACATCAATTTAATTAACTAAAAAGTTGTTCCTGAATGTTCTTCCTTCCTACCTACTCATAGATGCCCATATTAATAGAAACAGTTGATAGATGTCTTTAGGGAAACTTCCTATCTAATTAGTGGATATTTCATACTGCATCTTGCCAATAGAAACAGAATTAAAATAATCTAACAAAACTAATTATGAGATACTATGAAACATATATCATGTAGCAAAAGCAGTTTTTGCTCTTAATACAATATATTGATTAACATATATTTGCACATCTGTATTGTAGTGCATCAAAGCCTAAAATTATGGCAGAAATAACATTTTGTATACTTTTTCCTATCTGTGCTTAGGGGAATATTGCTGACCAATTTTGTCTCATAGTTCTAGAGCTTCAATTGTTGACTCATACTAAATTTCATCAAAATGTTGAACGGGTCCTAGAAGTGCTTTTATGTTGGAGGTTCAAATTCTTTCAAATCACAAAGGACCAATGCTCTATACCAGGGGTAGGCAACCTAAGGCCCGTGGGCCAGATATGGCCCAATCACCTTCTCAACCTGGCCCGTGGACAGTCCGGGAATCAGCGTGTTTTTACATGAGTAGAATGTGTCCTTTTATTTAACATGCATCTCTGGGTTATTTGTGGGGCCTGCCTGGTGTTTTTACATGAGTAGAATGTGTGCTTTTACTTAAAATGAATTTCTGGGTTATTTGTGGGGCATAGGAATTTGTTTATTATTATTTTTCAAAATATAGTCTGGCCCGCCACATGTTCTGAGGGGCGGTGGACCAGCCCATGGCTGAAAAAGGTTGCTGACCCCTGCTTTATACAACCAGTTCTAAACTGGGAATTGAGCTGTTCTTGTCTCTGCCATGATGTAGTTCTCATTTCAGCTTTTCTATATGAAACTCATTGACCTTGTTTTTGAACAAAGATTATGAAATTTGGGGAGCCTGTGGTATTAGTTTTCTGGGAATTTGTATATTCCAACACTGCTTTTGCTTTCCAACCAGTATATTTAAGGACCTAAGTAGCTTTAGCAACTTCTCTTTTGTTCCACTGTTCACTTTTGCCCCTTGTACAGGGATGTGGCCTTACTTGTGAAGCTTGAAGCCCAAATCAATTGTGTGGCTTGCTCACACTGTCCATGGTGCTGATCTGTTGCTCAAGGAGCTGCTTGCCTGCAGTCAAAAGTCAACGTTAACTCATTCTTCCCCTAAATGGCAATCATCTATATGATGGAGTGTGGAATGAAGAGTGCAACCAAACCTCAAATAAGATGGGAGGTGGATGGAGGAGCTCTAACTGGCCAGGCAGTGACTGACTGGCTGGACCCACTTGCTGCAATGGGAAGATTTGAAGTGCACATGAAAGAAAGAGTAAGAAGGATGTCTCAGTAAGTGACCACCAGTACCAGCTGAGAAGTGCTGGTGCTGCAGAGAAGTTCTGCAGAGAAAAATTAAGAAAGGAAGAAGGAACAGAGCTGACTGATTTGCTGTGCGGTACTAGTTGGTGTGTAGGATGATGAGGCAAGCCTGCAAAAAGGTCTGAGGGATATTATAAGCCTGATAAAGACCTCCAAGAGATACGAATACCTACAAAAGGCTTTAAGGTGCCCTTGGAAGATGGGAGGGGAAAGGAAGACCTCTAGTGGCTTGTGGCCATGAGAGGGGCTTGGGGAAGAGAGGGGAGAAGGTCTGCTAAAGGCCTTGTGTCCTCTTGTGGAGGTAGGGAGCAGAAGGTTGCCCAGGAGTGGCCCAAATTGCTGAATACTTAACTGGCCTGGTGACTTCATGGCTTTCGTTTATAGCTTCTCCCTTCCACCTTTTGAATAAGAAGGCAAGGTTGTGTTAAAAAAAAAAATCAAGGAGGAACTGTGAGGAAAACAGACAGACCCCACAGCTCCCCTCCCTATTCTTCCTTTACCAACCTTCCTTTTCCAGGAGTGCAGATGTGGAAGGGACATGGGTTGATGTTGTTGTTTTGGCCACTTTAGGATTTGAAAATCTGAAAGGATTTAGTAAGGATTTACTAAACTAATAGGATTTTTTTCTGCCTGATTTTTGTGATTGGGTCTCTCTGTGATTTTGCCCATTGTGATAGGTCAGGAATTTGAAACAATAGCAAAGCATTCTTGTTATTGCTGTTAAACAACTACGAGGGTTTTTGGATGGGTGGATCTGAGATGAGTTTGGCACATTGGATTTGACTGATTTCCTAGAATGGAACCTCTGGTTCATGGGCTACTTAGTATACTTGTTCTAATAAGCTGCCATGTCTTGGTCAGTGACTTCTGAAAAACAGGCCTTTGCTTGTTATTGGCTCTGATATCAGTGGCTGCTAAGAGCATGGAATCTTACACCTATAAAGATTTAAGTTGTACTCTCATCTGAGAACCCGGCCTGGCACGGTGTGTATATACTCATACATGGAGGAATGAATCAGATGCAGGATAGAACCTAGGTATTTTTAGAGATCATTTGAATGTGATAAAATAGTAGCCATGATTGAAATGCTGACATTGATGAGTCTGAGCTATAAAGGAAAGACTGAGCTAATGATAAGATTGCATTATACATCCAACAACACAACTGTACTGATGATAATAATGTGTGAACAATCAGTCATAATCAGTGTGGCCTAAGATCTCTTGAAGCAAGAATGACAAGAGTGGTTCCAACTGAGTTAAAATTAAGGGTGTGCTATAGACCTGCAATCTTGGACAATATACCAATCTGCATTATGTTATCATGAATGACTTTAATTTTCCTGATATAGATCTGGAAATAAATAAAAGCCACCAACAAAAGGAGACCCCAACTACTCATGTATGTGATAACCAATCCTGTTCTCCATCATCTATCCTCCTACTCAACCAAGATGAGATGCTAAGTCAAATTTGGTTCCAGGAGAACAGCAAAATCACGAGAGAAAAGTGGTAAATTGGACATAACTTTGGCTCACATAATCATGAGTTGATCCAATTTCATTTAATAGAAAGGTCTCCTGGAACAGCTACCCAGTTCAATTTCTTAAAAGATATGCCTTCTGAAATACAAAAAGTCAACAAACAAAGTGAATTTAGATTAAAATCTGGCAGAAAAATGGATCATTACTATACATAACATCCAAAATTTAGATATTGGATTTAAAAGTATCTCCCAGAAAAAACTTCACTTATTGTCAGACCATTGGTCCATCTGGCTATACATTAACTATCCTGAGTAACCCTGGCTCTCCAGGATTTCTGACAGGCTACTCTCCTACCTGGAGATGCCAGGAATTGAACCAGGGACATTCTGCATGCAAAGCAGATGCTTTGTCATTGATCTATCGCATTTCCCTTTTGGATTCTTATTTGTGCTTTTATGATGTATAACGCCTCGAGGTGGCTTGCACATAACAGTGTCCAAAGTGCACATTAAAAAAGAGGGGGGAAAGGCTGTGATGCCTAAAAATTTATTTACCTACTACATCAGATGGATGGAATAGACTCTGAAGATGCGAGGTGCATATAGAGCAGACTTCCTCAACCTTGGCCCTCCAGATGTTTTTGGCCTACAACTCCCATGATCCATAGCTAGCAGGACCAGTGGTCAGGGATGATGGGAACTGTAGTCTCAAAACATCTGGAGGGCTGAGGCTGAGGAAGCCTGATATAGACACTGGTTGATATACATAGACCCATAAAGTAAGACATCAATGTGATATTTACAGATAACAGAAATGTAAAGCACATATGCACACACATAGCTGGCATGCTAAAAGTGAATGCAACCCGTTTGTTGGACTATGAAGCATGAATTCTAAACAATCCCCAATTCCCTGAATAATGCCATTTATAACAAATGGGAAATTGATATTTTGGAGGAGTTGTTATTCCATCTTTCCTAAAAGTCAAGAGTTAGCTTAGGAAATAATATGTCAGGGATTGGAATCCTTTGCCACATTCCCTTCTGGGTAACCTTGCAGAGTCAGATGCAAAAGTAGGTGGAGCAAGAAACGTATAAGGATGTCAAATATATTACTCTGGGGATCCTCTGAAAATGGTGTAGTAGGTGCCACTGGAGTTTATAGAGGGTAGGGGTATCAGAAAAGTTGTCTACCCCATCTGCCACAGGTCACAGATCACCAAGTACAGAAGACTCTCCATCCATAAAATCTAGATCCAACCCAATGACCAAAAACATTGGAAGCAAAATAGCTTGCAAATGACATAATAAAAACAGGCTGGTTGTTGCTCCAAATTATGGTTCATTCTTGATGTTGATAAACTCAAATTTGTATATAATGTCTTGAGTCCACTATTTTAGCTACAGATTAATAACTTACTCCTAAAACATCTATGATATTATAAAAGGTAAAGGTAAAGGTACCCCTGCCCATACGGGCCAGTCTTGACAGACTCTAGGGTTGTGCGCCCATCTCACTCAAGAGGCCGAGGGCCAGCGCTGTCCGGAGACACTTCCGGGTCACGTGGCCAGCGTGACAAAGCTGCATCTGGCGAGCCAGCGCAGCACACGGAAACGCCGTTTACCTTCCCGCCAGTAAGCGGTCCCTATTTATCTACTTGCACCCGGGGGTGCTTTCGAACTGCTATGTTGGCAGGCGATGGGACCGAGCAACAGGAGCGCACCCCGCCGCGGGGATTCGAACCGCCGACCTTTCGATCGGCAAGCCCTAGGCGCTGAGGCTTTTACCCACAGCGCCACCCGCGTCCCGATGATATTATAGTCCAGTGTATTTCTGACAAGCCAGTATTTTGATGGCACAGAGTGCTTCTTGACAATTTGATTATTGAGCATTCATCCTGATTTGTTTGCAGACAATGTTGGCTAACAATGACAATATTTAATGAGCAGTCATTTGAATTTGTTGCAGAGAGATTAGATGATGTTACACCAAAGTGTTACCCCACAATTTGCAGTGCATTTACCTGTCACTTTCCTTACTGCAAAAAATTCCAATGGTTTGGGAAGTGACTTTGTTGCAGAAGACCTCTCAATCAACTATAACTGCTAGGGCTAGCCCAAGACATTTTGGCACCTGTGGTAGACCCCCAAATGGTATCCTACTTCCCACCAAGGAAGAAAGGGGTCAGAGGTGCTCTACATCAGGAACAAGGGGAAGAAAGATTGACATCTGCATCTACTGCCCCAGTTGCCTCACCTTGCTTCACCTTGCCACATTGGCAAGGTAGAAATATGTAAAAATAAAGATTTACATTGGGATTTGCTGCCTCTGTGGATTCTGGCACCTGTGGGTCCTTGCTGGTCCTGATAATTGCACAACCTCAATATGTTGGTATGTGACTGAATCCCACCCCAAAATAGCAACAGTCTATTGGCTTCTAGACTCATAGACATTTTTCCCAGCTAGTGGTTTCATTTTAAGATTGACTTTTACCCCCCCCCCAAAAAAAACCCCCAATGACTTGTTTTTTGGTATATTTATTTTATACTATTCTGCCATTTGTCTTTTTGGTGTTTGTAATGTGTTTCCCCTCAAACAGATCTATTTCACAAAAATAATAGAAATACAAAAAGCAGCACAGTATAAAATGCATTTTAATCTGTGTTTTATTATTGTAAACCGCCCTTAAACAAAATGAATAATAAATAAAATTTCACATAAAAACCATGAAATAACTATATAACAGATATGTAAAGATGTTTTAATAGCTCTACTGAAGTGATGCTAATAATTTTGTATGGAAGTATCTTCATAATAGCATTTCTGAACACTAGAGCTCCCATTGTTTTGCTGTTTTCATAACCACCGTTCACTAACTATATGGGTGCTGGTTATAAGAATCCAGTTTTGGTGTATATGCATTAATTATTTCAGCTAGTTATGTAAATATGCTGTTTATGCATTAATTATTTCAGCTAGATGCAGAAATATAGTGCTTGTTGAAAATATATTCCATCATCAAAACTACAGACTATGTCATTCCCTTTAATGCTGTTTTCCTGCCTGTCTGATAGGTATATCTATTAATTTCCATATATGCTTAGTAGAATATATGAATTTCAAACAATGTGCCATATCACGTATTACTTGGAATTTTCTAGAACAGTGATTTGAGAGAAGAAGACTCTGGGAGTCTTGATTTGTCCTTCTCTCTGACAACGGAAACTCAGTAGGACATCTGAAAGTGTCCTAAACTGCTGCTTTCTACAGTTCTGATTCTAGAAAGCAACCATTCACATACCTAAGCAAGCATGTTCATCAGACTCCCAGACATGCAATCAAATGTTGTTTTCAATAAGTTTTCTTTAAATTTTCTAATGTTTGTTTCCCCCTGTTTTTAATGACAGGTCTAGTTAAAATAATATTGCATCATTTAGCTCAGGTTACTAGATAATTAGGGTGTCTTTATAAGAGATTTCCACATCGAAGGTAATGGAGACAATTTATAGTAGAACAGATGGTTGGCCTTCATTTGCCTGTTGACAGGTAGCGTGTTGTCAGCACTTCAGGTTGTTATCATACAGAGAACAGCAGTTCAGTATCTTAATTGGGACCCTGAAGAATACACTGTGCAGCTATTGTTGGGCATTTTCAGACACAGGAATCTACGGAAATGTTTATATATCTGTAAATATATAAATTTAACTTTTAAGATTTTCTTTCTTTCTTTTCACCTTAGTTTGACCTTGAAGTTAGTAAAATTGCTTGTATTTGCCACAAGCAGCACTGTAGTTCAGATCTAGAAGGCTCCAGAGTGCCCTTTGTTCAGATAGTGTGGGATCAGTTTCAGTTTTTGTGGCCTGGTGAAGTGTACAGAGCTCTTGGGGGAGTTTAGCCTACCATATGTGTTCTCAACCCTTGTCTATCTTGGCTGGTAAGAGCCAGCTGGAGAGATTCACTTGGTGGGTCCAAAAAACGCTGGCACAGTTCCTCCTCAACAAGCCTTCCATAGTCCTAGAGGTTTGCGACAGCTATTGTCAAGTCACAAATATCCCCTTTCTGGCCAAGGTGTCCAACACTGTGATGGCCATTCAACTTCAGGTGTGCTTGGAGGAAGCTAATTATCTGGACCTATTTCAGTCTGGTCTCCTATAACCTGGTTTTCCTATATCCGTGCCTTCAGGAAAAATTGTAACTCTAAAAGGGCACATTAAGGCCTCCTTTACAAATGCAGTAGAATTAGGGGATAACATGAGGTGACATAATTATGGTATGTACCATTTCAAATTTCAGGTGGGAAATTTGAATTTTTCTATTCTATTATTCTATTTCTAATAGTCCCTGGTGTAAACAAACTCCCTGAAGGTTAAATAAAATAAAGAATTCTGCACCAGAGAATAATATACCCTTACAACATGGTAACGTAAAGGGACCCCTGACCATTAGGTCGAGTCGTAGCCGACTCTGGGGTTGCGGCACTCATCTCGCTTTATTGGCCGAGGGAGCCGGCGTACAGCTTCCAGGTCATGTGGCCAGCATGACTAAGCCACTTCTGGTGAAAACCAGAGCAGGACATGGAAATGCCATTTACCTTCCCTATTTATCTACTTGCACTTTGACATGCTTTCGAACTGCTAGGTTGGCAGGAGCAGGGACCAAGCAACGGGAGCTCACCCCGTCCTTATAATAAGGAGGAACATTTAAAAATGGGATTCTATGCCTGCCTTCTGAAGTGGACAGTGCATTCTGCCACCTCAGCAGCTCATTCCCACTTTCCTTTGCTACTTATGTAGGCCAGGCTTTGAGGACCTCATTCTGCTGAAAGAAAACATGAAACTCAAAAGAAGGACTTAACTTGGAAAGCAGCTATATAGCATACTCTATTCACATTTAACTGGCCATAGTAGGGGGAAGGCTATTTGGACATATTTTTTGGAACGTGGGTAATAATGTGCATGGCCCTTGACTCTGACCTTCATCTCCTCTCTTCCCAGACTGGCACATGTGCTGTTTGTGGAGAGGCTTCATGGCTCAATACATGGAAGAGAATGTGCAGTGGATGGTTGTTAAGTGCAATATACAAAAGGCTAGTTTGAAAACGCATACATTTAAATATCATATTAAAGTCAGAGTGTGTTTGTTGTTATTTACTTCACTTATCAAGGCAATTTATACCGACTGGAAAAGACAGAGACAGCGGAGGTTAAATATTCAGGGTGGGGATTAAGCTGCATGAATCCCCATTAAGGTTAATGGGAGTCACACTGCTAAATCCCTAAACATAGCATGTTGAATAGTCTGCCACCCCTGTATGCCAGGATTTGGCAGGAACTAAGAAGTAAACATCAGCGGCAGCACTGGAAAGGCAGCTCATTGGATGAGTTAAATGAAACTGCAATTTTGCAAGACAGTGAGAAACCGGTTTTAATAATGATTACATTTGGAATCTGAGGTACACTGAAAAATATACGAGAGATTAAGACAGAATCCTTTGCATACGCACCTTCTACTGAGACAGAACTTCTCTTCCCGCATATCTGTCAGTCTGCTTCTATGCCAGCCACTAGAAACAAATTGGCCAAGTGGGTTTAAAACTTTCCAGTTAGTAATGTTAAGTGCTGAGCACCCAATATGAGCTTCGAAGCACCAACAAAACATCATGTAGTTTGAAAGGAAGGGAAAACATTTTACTGACATAGATCATTCAGTTCAGGTTATAGAAAGTTAGTTAAAGAAAAGCAAACATTCCATTTTCATCATTAAACTCAATCCTTGGACTAGGTCAGGTAAAGTAATTGGATTAGAAAGATGAAGTATGCAAGACTTTGAACAGACCAAGCCCATTGTGTCATTCAAAAGCTTGCATGCTCTTCCCCCAAATTCACTACAAATAGCTCTATCTATTCATAAGCACTCACAGTCTTTTGTCTGTATCACTCGATTCAAATAAAGATAGCATCTTACCAATTTTGTCTCTCGCATTTTCCAGAACCTACACAACCACGACCCTCCAGCTCAGAAATTTGGGCCTTCTGTTTTAGAGCTCAAGTGAGATCTCATTATGAAATAATTAAAGGAACACAAAGACACAAGGGGGTAAAATGATACTTTTTATTGGACCGGCATCTGTTGGTGAGGGAATGTGCAAGCTTTTAAGTGCTATTCTTCATGCAGAGTTCACTGGGGTGAAAAGCTTGAACTCTCTCACTAACAGATGCTAGACCTATAAAAGCCATTTCCTTACCTTTCTGGTGTCCCTCATCCTCTGGGGTCAATGTAGCAACAGCATTCTATTTGAAGCCATTAAAGAAAGGCTCATATGGCCCAAAACACACCACTGGATTTCTGCTGCTTTTAAAATGCTATCTTTTTTGCAGCATATAAATGAAAAGAATTTGGAAGTTATGCTGTCCTCTATGGAAACAGATCAAATTCTTATTTACTTGAAAATAATCCCCATCTTAAATGGGATTTAGGGCCAAACTATACAATACTATCAATCAATCAATCAATCAATCAATACATAGTTCGTATTTGTCTTTCTTTCTTTCTTTCTTTCTTTCTTTCTTTCTTTCTTTCTTTCTTTCTTTCTTTCTTTCTTTCTTTGACTTAGCCAATGTGATGTAGTAGTTAGAGTGTCAGACAAGAATCTGGGAGACCAAGGTTCAAATCCCAACTCAGCTGTGAAGGTCACTGGGTGACCTTGGGCCAGCCACAGTGTCTCAGACTGACTTACCTCACAGAGTTGTTGTGAGGATAAAATAGAGAGAGGGATGGCCACTCTGATCTCCTTGGAGGAAAGATGGAATATAAATTTAATAACAAATAAATAAAAAGAGCCACATAGGAAGCCACTCAGAGTGGGACCACAGTCGAGGTGGAGTGTGGTTCACCACACTATGAATACTGCACTTCTAGTCATCACACTTTGGAAAGGATATTGTAGAGCTAGAAAAGGGCAACTAAATTATGACGAAGAGGGAGAGACTCCACAATGAGGAAAGATCATGACACCAGAGGCTTTTCAGTTTAGGAAGCAAGGCAAGTAAATGGAAACATGACAGAAGGATATAACATTATGCATGGCACAAGGGAAGTGTCTAGAGGTCATTTTCTATCTCATAATACACAGGGTCATCAAATAACTAAATATTGGAAGATGCAGGACAGACACTAAGAAAGCACTTTTTCACAAAGTGCAGAGTTAAACCATGGCATTCTATCCTACGAGAGGTAGTGCTGGACCCTCAATTGGACAGCTGCAAAAGTCAATTAGAACAATTCACAGAGGATAAGACTATCAGTGGCTGGTAGTCATGATGCCTATATTACTTCCAGTACCAGAGAAGGTATGCAACTGAATACTAGATACTAGAGCTTGTGACTGGGAGAATGCTCTTGTGTGCATGTCCTGTCTTTGGACTTCGCATAAGCTTCTGGTTGGCCATTGTGAGAACTGACTGCAAATGATGCAGCAGGGCTATTCTTATGATCTTAACCTCCCTACTCCCCCAACTCTGGTCTTCATCCAAGTCATTCCCTAGTTGCTCTTTGCCCCACACAACCACACCAAGCACACCCACAATCCCTGATTCAGTCAAGATCCAGACTAGGGCTCCTATCCCTGTGGCAGCTATTTTTTAAAAGATGCTATGTATATTTAACATAACATAAGATGAAGTTATGAATGCAGAAAGGGGGAAAGCGAGCCATTTAAAAGATATCAAAACAAAAATAGATATACAGGGGTTTTCACTAAATTTGGGTAAATGTATCAATAGGGGTTGGGGCAGAGAGGTTTAACATAACTTGTGAAAAAATGGCCTTGGTATTCATAATCTTAAATGAATGATGTCATGTTGGAAATTCACTTCATAAGTGAACAAATTCAGGTAGCTGCAGCTGACAACATAAGATGCCCACAAATTATTTTCATCACTGCCAAATGTTTAAAGGCATTCTGCCTGTTTTCTCAGCAATGCTCCAAATCCCTAGATCCGTAATGTGTAGTAAGTAAGCTTTCCTTCCTCCTTTATTTTGCTTTGTGTATTGCAGTGCTCATATATTGTGTTAATATTGATAAAAGGTGACAGCTGAGAAGTAAGTGCTACTCACAATTAGCAAGAAACAAGGAAGAGAATAAGCAACAAAACAAAACCTTGCATTCACCTTTGGCAACATCTTATTTGATTGATGACTCTGTCACATTAAAGCAAGAAAAAATGACACGAGTGAGGGAAGTTGAATAAATATGCAGACATGACCCAAGATGACCCAGGGCAACATAGACGAACATTCTGGAATCTAAATCTGTTACACTTGCATGCTCCAGAATGTTGCATACACCTGTGTAACTTAAATATCTGCCTATTGGTGCCACTGTGCACATCAGGGCTTGCCTGTGACACTTTTCTGGCTGATGAAGAGCTTCAAGCACCCACCCCCACCCCCAATCAAGGGACATAGCACCCAAGGCCAGCCAAGTTATTTTGGCATCTGAAAATTCTGCATGCACCTCTTGCCATGACCCCATACCCCAAGTTCTCACATGCAGAGTCCTCCATGAAGGAAACAGACTACCTGAACCATACTGATTAGATCCCCTAGCACCAGCTTCTGAACCAAACCCTCCAAACCCTGAAGCTGCAGCTTTGCTGCTGATGTACTGAGGAATGGACTGACTTCTCTGATGGTCAAGAAAACACTGTACAACTCTCACACACCAACTCCCCACTGCCCTGAATCCCACTGCAAAGAAGAGCCAATGGCTGCACCAAAGGACACTAGCCTTCCATTTGGCAGCCGCCTCACTCTGCCTAATGGTAGAGCTGGTCCTGTGTGATTTTTGCTTATGGCGAATGACATATTTCCTGCAAACCTAATCTGGAATTTCTCACATCACTGTTCAGACCCACACTGTGTGCATAGAGAGGAGTTGTGCTGGTGTACAAAATTCAAGCTTCTGCTCAAGGGAAGCAAGTCAAATGCCTCTGATTCACCATGTGCAAAGAGTCACAGGGAATCACCAGGCATCACTGAGCAGGAATGAAAAAATGCTGCCACTCAGCAACAATGTTTAGGAGAACACACACGCACACACACACACACCACACACACACACACTTCAAACCAGAAATTCTCATATAATTGGATATAAAAGTGTGTATATTGGGAGAAATATCCTTACAAAGTCATGTGTGAATATGGAGAAAAACATGCAAAGTCATGTGTGAATATGGAGAAATGAGCTTAAGATGGAAAAATGTCAAACCAGAATTGTCAGATTTGCCCATCTCCATGAAAAAGAGAGCTTCTTCAGTAGTATAGCACCCCCATACGGGGTGAGGTGGGGAGAAGCTTGCATCCTCCTTTCACTGCCTGCTACAGACCCTCCAAGTGTCCCTATTTTCCTGGGACATCCCTGATTTAGAGAAGCTGTCCTGGTTTCTGATTTTATCCCGGAATGTCCCACTTTCCCTTAGGATGTCCCTGTTTTCATTAGAGAAATGTTGGAGGGTAAGGAGTTATCTGACCCCCCCCCCAAACTGCCTGGAGGCAATCCTGCATAGGGAAGTTTTTTAAAAGAATGTTTAATGTTTTATTATGTTTTTATATATGTTGGAAGTACATATGTGTAGGGTATAAATAGTAAAATTATCATTATGGAATGGGACGTCCCGATTTTCATCAGAGAAATGTTGGAGGGTATGCTGGTATGCTCTGCTCAAGATCAGAACCAGACATCAGGTGGTGATACGGAAGACCAACAAACATGGCAAATGCCCCACACAAACCCAATGTGTGTGGTGCAGTCGTAGACTCCTTGGCAATGTGCTAACCTTTCTCAGCAGGGGAGCTGATCTCGAAAGGGATCCCTGAAAGTAAAAAGCTATTTGTTTCAAATACCCAGGGGGATCTTAGGCATCATGATTTGTGAATATACCCTCAGTGACCTCGAAAAAGAAGCTGTTTTCAGTAAGCAAGAGGAAGACATGAAATCTACAAATATGCACAGCAAATGCCACAGGCTCTGCAAGGAGCAAGCTTGTGACTACCACATGTCTAGATTTTTTACCCCTTTAAGCTAATATGATGTAGCAAAGAAGATGTGAATGAGGGAACTCCGAGCCCAGGTAAATTCAGCTCACGTTTGAAAGGAGGTTTTGCTTGTTGATTAGGTAATCCTTCTCAAGGAAATGTGCGGCACCAACTGCTTTTCATGCTAGATTAGTGCTCCCGTGGTCAATTTGCTTTTACTAATGTCAGGGCCCTACGGTGCAGGTTCATCTGTCGCATAGCAACTGCATCAGCAGCAGTGGAGGTAGCCATGCATAAAAGATTACACATGATGGCAGGGCACAAGTGTGAAGATTTTCAAAATTAGATACAATCTCAGCATGAATATGAACTGCCGAATTGACATGGAAGGTTTTTTTCTCTCTCCAAGTCATCAAGTTTTCCATATTTATCAGTTAAAAGTCATTTAACTGCAGTGCACGTAAAACTGAGAAAATTCAGAGGGCAGTCATTTAGGTGGAGGAAAAACCAATAAGGGAATACAAATAAATGTAAACAGAAAGGGCCTATGCCTCTCCTGTAGCATGCTGTTGACAACAAGGTCTACTTGTGGTGCATTGCATTACAGATCTCCATGGCAGGGAAGATGTTTGAAAACATTTTCTCTCCCCTCCCTCCCCAAGAAGCTTGATCTCTTCAGCTGTTCCCAATGATTAGCAAGAGAGTAAGTTACTTAGATTACTTCAGTTACAAGCAGCACTTGACTTCAGTATGCAACTGCTCACACTGAAAACTGCATTAACATTGCAAGCTTTTTACCAGCATAGCTTTGAATACTCTCTTTTCCATGTTGTTGTTTTTTGGGGGGTACACACACACACACACACACACACACACACGCTATTGTTGGACCACTCAGCCACAGATGTTACCTTGTTTATCTGCTGAAACAGAGCACAGGATCTTCTTCCACTTGACTTGAATGAAAAGAAACTATGGAATTGTGGCACAAAAACGGATTACGTAAATT